TCAAGCTCTACAAGAGCTGCATTCACTTCCTCAATTGATGTGTATCGTGTCATATTGGGACGCAAGTCCGCAAACAGGTCCTACATGAGCATCAATCATGAGTCAGACACATAATAGATATTGATCATATTTATGATAAAAAATTTTAATTGAAAAAGAAAAGGGAATTTTGTAAAACTCACTTAAAAGTCAACTTGACAACATAAATTCAGTACCATAGTATACTTATTATTTATGTTACAATGTGACTATTATTTTAGAACTAAGATTTGTAACTTGTCAATTTGGTTAATTAAGATTTACTTAGGGGAAAAAAAAAATTGTGAGCATAACCCATATCGAAGCATCCAAGGAAGATTAGTAAGCCTTGCATTGATTAGGGGGCCTGTGAATACATCTTTAGCTCATTATTACTGTTTAACCCTTTATAATTAATATGCTAAAATTGATATTTGAATCAGGAAAATTCGGTTCCTTTTAGATTTGGAGGCAGATAAGTACTTTAAGCAAGCTCCCAATATATTAACATGCAAATTCCCATTACAGATCACCCCATCTTCCCGCTCCTTAGTACAAGAATTCTCTATTTGTCCGCATAATGGGATATGGTTAGAGTTAAAATATTCACAAAAAACATTCCTCCACACAAAACATTGATCATTTCACAATGCATAATCACAATAAAATCATCCTTATTTGGCAAAAATGGAAGATTGCAAAAACTAACATCCTTGAGAGTACATTGGCGGAAATAGGAAACTGACTAATAAATACACGTGATCTCTGCCGGAGTAATTGTATCCAACAGGATACCAGGCTTAGGTGAATGGGGTGTTGTCTTTTTGAGTATATCTACCATTTCAGCATTCCATGGTCACGTTATCACATCTCTTTGTATATTGACACCCAGGCCCAACAACTGATCTGAGGCGTCAGGTACCATTGCAACATGTAAAAAATCTTGAAGGTTTTTCTCATGCTACCCGCCCAAGGTTAAACTTTCAAAACAGGACTTAGTAATTTCTATGAAAAGTTTTCTCAACTACGGGGAATAATCACCAAGCTCCCAAAAATCTAAACAGATACATAGGAGGTGGTTTTATTATTCTTTATGTTTGTTTACAATGTGACATTCCACAAATTAATCTCATTGGACCAGCATTAGTCAGAATTACCATCTCCATGTCAAATATAAGGCATGTTTTGTAAAATACTATGTTCAAAATATAAGGCATTCTACAGAGTTCTAAAAGCAATTAGTAACTTTTTACTTAAAATGGTCGTAAGAGCAGTAGAGCACATCAAATTTACTTACCTTCCCTAACAGATAATTAATTATTGGTACTATTAAATAAAGGTAAAATTGGGAAAAATTCTGAAATCTAAACTACCTAACTATTTTTCTTGGTTCATGCGTTCTAGTTAAAAATGCCTCATAATTGAAATGGAGGGAGGAGTTAAAAAAAATATTGCTTAGAAATGGATTTTTCTTTATGTAAACAGTTATCATCTAAACCTCCAATTATACTTCATATGCAAAAATTTTAAAATATTTCACTAAGGGCCCAATTTTTAAGGTTTCTTCTTGAAAAAATCACTTAAATTTTTCTCTTTTTTTTTTGGGGGGGGGGGGGGGATCACATTGGTGAAATTTCATTAGGTTTGTGTAAGCTTTCAAAAATAACAAGAATATGGGGAAAAAAAGAATTTTGGTGAAATTTCATTATGTCTGTGTAAGCTTTCAAAACTAACAAGAATATGGGGGAAAAAAGAATTTCTGATTATTTTAGCTTCTGAAAATAATCAGATGTGGTGAATCAGGGAGAATATCACAAAAATATGGACTTACACAAAGATATTATAAAATTTAAAATTACTAAGTAAATATTTTTTAATAAAGATACAAAACAATGTCAAAAATATGAAAATAATTAAATAATAGTCATCTTGTATGATTATAATCAAACACAATAATTTATACCTTTATAGATCTCTACACAATGAATTAAGGGGAATTGCATTCAGATCCAACGAAGGGATTTAATTACCCCAAAGTCCATTGACAACTGGCTGAGAAGCATGCTTTCTAATGTAGGAAATGACAACTGATTGATGCTACTCACTTGTCATTGGGACTTTTGGTAACTAAATTCTTTCCTTGGGACTTCATGGTAATTCTCCCATAAATAAATTTTCATAAAATCCCTAAACTATCTAAAAATCACTTATTTTCGGTACTAGTTAGTTTAAGCCTTTTCAGGAAAAAATCACTTATCATTGTTTTGGGGGGGGGGGGGAGTCACTTTTGTGAAATTCTCCAATGCTTGTTTAGCCTTTGAAATTAATCAGAATCTTTAAAAAAAAAAAAAGGGCAAATGTCTGATGATTTTGAGAAGCTACTTCGGATATCTTCTAACAATAATCAGAACGAGTAGATGAGAGAATGTTATAAAAATACTGAGATATCTAGAGATATCATAGAATTTGAAAACAAATATATAATAATCATTTTTTATGAATGGAGATGCATAAAGATATCATCAAATTTGAAAATCACTCAATAATAATCACTTTTTATTATTGTAAGCAAACGCAAAATAATTACTGCTTTTTATAAAATCTCTACACAAAATTATTATTCATAAAATCTCTAAATTATCTGAAAACACATTTACTTTTAAGCCTAATAGCCCTCAGATTCTGTTGAAACCAAAATCTATAAAACTCAGGATCACATGAAATCAATTTAAAATTACATGGATTTACAAAAATTTATTTCAACAGCTTAATCGTGTGAAAAAAATTTCAATTTACAAACACCCCCGTAAAAAAACAGGTCAATTAGTTTACATCTGAAACTTCACTAACAACTCGGCAATAAGCTCCAAGGCAGGAGGGCCTATGTGGGCCACATATAAGCCTTAATCACATGTATAAGCAACATAAAAGGGGAAAAAATAAGATTCTTCTATTAAGGCATTGTGAAATTACTTGTTATTCAGGAATTTTTTGTGGGCACTAGGCTTGTGCGCTTACTCTAGGGTTTTCTTAGTCTATACATTTTCGAGAGAAGGAGAATAATGCTTTGTGGAAACGTCACCTTTTTTGCTAGTACTAATGGTGTATGTGGTTAAAGCAAAACGCAGGAATCAAGCATTATAGCCAGAGTTGCTTGAGTATTATCTAAGATAAATCATTTCATTTGGCATCTCTGTGGCCTTTTGCCAATGGTTTCTTAGAAGAAATCGACAGACAAAAACATGACCTATGTTAAAAGTATTGAATGCACAAATGGGAAGGCTTGCACGCACAAGAAACTCTCATACATGCTATGGCAATCCCTCATCTTATTTATATACTTGAAAATAGATTAACGATAATATAAACTCCAAAACATAATGAAATGAGAAGATAGTTAAACTAAAAAACAATAGTTAACTCTACTTTAGGTAATGATAAACTCAGACCTACTCAGACCTACTCAGACCTAGTTATCAATAATCCATTGATCCATTAATAGTCCTACCTTGATAGGGTTTCTCAACATAAAAAAACTAGCAATTAACAATTTAGGCAACATCTAGAATGTAAGCATGCCGACAGACATCCTTCTGCTTCATATATTTGTATATATACTAAGCAGAGAAAATGAGATCTATTAAAGAGCCGCCTGACTAACCTGTAAATCAAATTCAATGTCCAATGGCAGTGCACCTTTGCTTAGAATATACCTCTGAAAGTGTATGAGGAATCGATCAAGTTTTCTCTTAGAAGATCCTCGGTCAAAGTAATGTCCACAAGTTTCAAGAAGAGTTATAACCATCCTGATACGAAAACAATCTTCCGGTGGATCCAACACATCTTGCTGGAAGTATGAAATGTACACTATGGTATGAGACGGTTGCCATATATGCAAAACAAAATCATTTAAACAACTTTTCATTCATACATTTCAAAACAAATCATTACCAAATCCAAGGCATTAAGAGCTTTTAAGTTTAAAACAGTATGCCTCTCGCCTAAGAGGAAATATATTTTAAATACAGAAAAATTTTGCATAAAAAAAGGAAGAATGGTATCTTAGCATATTACTGTCATTTCTTATACTGCGCAGGTATGTTTTTCCAGCATGCGAGAGTTATAAAGAATTTTATTCTTTTATCTGTTGTGATACGTCGCCTATTAAAGATATCAGTTCTACTATCCAATACATGAAACATATCACTATCTTTGCAACAACCTTCTTAGTCACTCTGACTGAACTGAAAGAACAAAAAGTCTAAACCGTACCTCTGGAGTTCCATGACCAAAAACAAGAACTAGATATAGCGTCTCAAATATAACAGAGGAGTCAACATGCTCATAATTATAAAGCTCCCCAAGGAATCGCATATGGGCAAGTCTTCGTTGCTGCATCCCATAGTCATTTAGCTCCAGCCCAAGTCTAATCTCCTCCAAAACCTGAAACTCACGTCACAAATATCACAATTCCAACCGAGAGCACAACCAAGCACAATCATTAGGGGAAAAAAAATGTGGTAAAAGAAATCATTTGCAAAGTTCATTTTCCCATGACAGGGGAGAGTTAGCTGCAGCTGACACTGCTAATTAAAGAAGATAGAATACTTAATTTATATCGAAACCATTCAAATGAACACCAGATTATCTTTGCCCTGGTTGGAGAGGGATGCTTGCATCTTCTTGGACAAATTTTTTCCCTTACATATATTGTGAGACGGAATTATTTATAAAGCCGCCCTCAACTGCTCTGCACGAATTTTAAGGGTGTCGCAATGTCTGATCAGTAAAGATATTGCTGACCTTTACATTTATAAGCTATTCACGTCTTTCACTCCTGCTCTGTTATGAGATTTTCTTGTATTCTCTAGTTTAAGGATATCTTTCCAGAAAAACAGACATTCCCCAAAATCTAGATCATGATATTGAATTGAAAAGAAACGACAGGAGATACCAACCTCATCAACTATAGCCACTGCAAATTCATCATGATAGCGACTTAAACCAGCAGCGAGAGAAGCTATCAGATGGATTTGACCATATTTTCCTTTATGAACCTTCATGAAGCATTTTAAAAGGTATGATTCACATTCACTCCATGGCAACTTACGAAGTTGCCTCAACACATGCTCAATGGTAGATTTGTCAAGATCAGAGAAAAGTAATTTTCTGATATACTGCAGCAGGGGAAAAAAAAAAAAAAGAAATCACTTAGAATGTTAATTCAGATGCTTAACAGATATCAGAAACCAAATAACTTGAAATACATGTTACACCTGATGCAATGGAGGACGGACTTTAGAAACTCGTGCAGATCTCTCTGGTGGCTTGCAAAGGTAGTAGGCATTCTCCACTAAAGTACTATGTCTGGGATCCAGGTTTTTCACATTTTTCAAGCGCATCAGTATCTCCAACATGTTAGCCATACGTATTGTAGTTTCAGGGGATCGATATAAGAAACGACCACAGGTTTCAAGGAGATTGCAAGCTACATCAATGTTGTGATGAGTGAAATCATCTAAACAAGCCTGGGATACAATTAACCCAAAAAAAAAAAAAAATCAATTTAAAATCATTGTCTTACATAATGTAATTCAATTGTGTATCAGATCTACTGCAATGAAGGAATCAAGGGATAGCTAGGGAATTTTCCATGTGGCTAGTTAGGGAATTTGATGTTAGTCAAAAGCCATCCATATCACTATTCTGCATAAAATAGGGGTGGCATGAGTGTGAAATTAATTGAACTGTTTCTTTGCTCAGGGATTTACATTTGCAATGTATTTTTGATATCTCAATCTCCAAATCCTAAAAGATTTCAAATTGTGACTTCTTATGTATCTTCTTCCCGGAAGAAACTCTTTCAAGGAGGGGTAAATACAAAAAAATTATGTTGCATAACAGATATTATCACAGAGTCATTATAAACTCCACAATCATATTAGACAAAGAAATAGAACAGAAGATCTAAGAAAGAGAGCGAAGAGGATGTCATGTACGGGAATGGAGGGAAATCAACATGGAAAGGAAACAAATCTTTTGCTTTAGAGGAAAGCAAAATGGTTAATCTCCTCCTATCAGAATTGAACGAATACTTTGCCAATTAAAAAAAAAAAAAAAGTAAGGTAATTAGGAATATATGCGTTAGCCTAAGGTTATGAATATATCCCCTATTCCATTGTATTTCCCAGAACTGTGAATAAACAACCAGCACGCATTATTCAGAATCCCTCTCATCTTATCTATTGTTCTTCTCCCTAGAATCCTTCTCCATTCTCTTCTATTTTGCCCTGTTTCTCCTCTTTCCTTATTCCCTTTCCCTTTTGCCTCTGTCAGATTCTAACCATCATCATGTGACGTCAGCACTTAGGATGCACTTTAATTATTTGAGTTTCAAATGTGAACTATTTGCCATGGAATCATATTTAATAGCATTATGCCAAGTCAGAATTTGGACGGGAGCAGTTCCAGAAAGCATTTGCTTTTATGTTCACTTCAGTCCCATTTTCAATCCTCACACTAACAAGCTTCTCTTCTCTTACATTTGCTGGTTCGGTCTGGTCTGCTACATTCTATCAGGCCCAGATGTCAAGTTAAAAACCACCTAAGCACCTAATTGAGTAGCTCATGAGACCTAGGCATCACACACTGCATTGGCTCCCACCAATTGACAATCAATCAAAAGCAAACACCCTGATAGCTGCAGTGCTGCAGTCTTTAACAGTTCACTCAGCCCTCTAAGGATCGAAACCCTCTGTAACCTTAGGTAGCTCTTTCCAAGGTCACCAACCAGCATGATGCCAAATGATTAGCACCCAAGTGAGGCATGAAATCCTTATTGAGGCAAGAGAAAACCCTTTTAATATACAGTGTGGACTCAGTTCTACAGACACACAAACTCACTCCAGTGTCCAAGGACGGCACCATATTCACCTTCTATGGAAATCTAGGAGGTTCAAAAAACAGATCTATAGAACCACAATATCCACCACCCACTTCAAGAATCCAATCCGTATTTGCCATCAGTCCATCATGGAAACCCATATTTTCCTCTCACTTTTGGAAAAATGAAGAAATAAGCCCTATCCCAAGATTGTGAATCTAGATCACTTGAGGTTAACACTACAGAGTGATTTTTTGGAATTATTAACACAAAAATGATCTCCTATTTCTTTAAGGACAGACTCAATCTGAGAAACTTCAGCCATGGCGGAGCAAGGCCGCCTTTGATACCAATGATAGGAATTAAGAAAGACGTAAAGGGTAGAAGAGAAGACATAGAGAAGAATGGTAAAAGAACCAAGAGTACGAATTTATAAAGCAGTGACCAACTAACCACGAACTGACTGATAGACTCGTATCAGCACTAAAATGCCCCCCCCCCAAAAAAAACCTTTAGTGCGTATTTGTTAAGAGACCAATGCAACCTTATCTTAGAAGGAGAAAACATCAAAAGATGAATTAATTATTTCTTATTTTTCTTCACATTTTGCAGTTTATTTTGTTGAATAATTGCTTTTGAGAGATTTAAGAAGTCGGTTTAGCAGAATAAGGGATCATAATGTTCTTAAGTGGTTCCCAACATTCAGTTTGTTATTTTTTTAGCTGTTGCAGACTGTGTCAAATATTGTAGGGATTCTTCAGACTACATAATTATTTCAATTTTTCCCAGCCATACAAATAGGCTAACAACCTCTGAAGCTAGTCATTGAGAAATGAAAGTGCCGTTTAATCCATTTGGAGATTCTCCTAAGCCTTTGGCCATTTAAAACAATTAGAGTTAGATTCGAGCTCTATCCTTTCCTAATTGATTTATCATTCTGATGGAATCAAATATCTGAAATATGTATTATTCAACTGAAAGTACACCACCACAGAGGGCAAGTCCTGTGAAGGTGAAACCTAAACAGAGAAAACAAGCACTACCCTATGCATTCGAGAGGCACAGGAACTCTCCCAATTAACTCACCACATTTTCCATAACCTCTCCAACAATCAAACCCGTCACATAGAACCTTCCCCCTTGCTAACTGTCAAATATAAAATACCTCAAATACCTAGTCACATGGTTCGCACCCCACATGTCAATATTAACATTATGTTCAACATTCCCCCCCCCCCCAAATGAAGGGCCACATTGTCCTCAAGGTGACAAGGAAAAATGGAGTTCTGTGGTTTCCGCCCCACCATGTGCTGCATATTCTTGACCAATGCCATCCACCACTAAGAAATTGAGGTAGATGTGGTTATCTCCAAATTCAACTTTCTCCCAGTCAAAATCAGTTACAGCATACCAAACAGGCCCTAAGTTAAAAATTGAAGGTTAGTGATGGCCCGTGGATAATCGTATTCATGTCACCAAGACTACAAGTTTGACCCCACAGAAGTTTTGTCCTCTTGTGTTTTTTTTTTTTGTTTTTTTTTTTTTGTTTTAAGGATTATCATTCTTATTTCAGGTTAGAGTAAAATAAAATAGAGGCAAGTTTGAGCCCCTTGATTCTTGATAAACTAAATTAATGTTAAATTAGATAATATTGTTATTTTCATGTATTTCCTTGCCAATCATATACCCGCACATATATACAATTCCATATTGTCACTAGATGCAATTGGACCTCACTAAAACACGAGATTAACTCCAAAATATGGTTTAAAACATAATAATTAAATTAAAAGCAATTAGCATTTATTTTTATATTTAAGTATTTCAATTCAATGATAGTTTATCATACCTTCAAACAACTGAAGACAAGGCCCGCTGGAGCTATTTTGAACTTGCATAGTTCTCCAATGAACCGTATGTTCCTTATCTTTGTCTCAATGTTCATTTGGTCCTACAAAGTAAGAAATTTCAAAACCAGGCAACGAAAACAAGAAAAATAAATACATTAATTGTTCACAGATTAGTCTCACTTACATTAAAAATCATAGTACTAACCTTTTTGTTTATTAAGAAGTTGAATTCCTCCTCCAACATCTGCAAGAGCACGGAGGAGACATCCTTCATGCATGTTGAAAGTGTGGCAACCATTCGTGAATAATAAGGTAGAAGTTCCAGAGATGTCCTTGGTACATTGAACAATGCCCTAACAAGCTTTTTCCGATTTGACTTTGAGTTTAAATAACAGAATTCTACCTGAAATAGTATTGAAACGAGGCCAAAAGTAATTAATAATGAGGGCAATGATGACAACAAAATCTCAGAAATTATGGAATAATAGCACTCAACAAGACATCCTTACAGTCAATTGATCAATAAGGTCTCGGCTCACACAACCTGGGAGCCTCTGCAGCAAAGCATCCAAACTAGTCCCTTCAAGATTTCTAAGATTCTCCTTTTCATTTTCCCCCTTTTTGTCGTTTTCTTTTTCTTTTCCCTTCTCTTTGTCCAAGTCTTTAGACTTCTCTTTATCATCCTTATCTTTCACTCTTTCAGCTGTTTCTGGCTCTGGGGACACACTGGGCTCTGCGGAGACATCTCCACTTTCTAGTGTAACTGGTTGACGTTTGTCTGATTCAGACACTGGCTCCTTAAAATGCCAAAACCTTGATGTCAGTGAATAGATGCAAGAACAAAAGATGCAATCTTATGGCTGTATCAGAGTTTTCATGCATGGTAAAAATAAGCAAATGTGACATGTCACATAACAAGTGAAAGCTTTGGACATGTCCAGTTAGAACTTATAAAGAAGAAGCTAGATATTAGCAAATTTAGCTTGCATAATATTAAGATTTAACCGCTAGGATGGTCTTAATTAACAAGCTCTGCTCATATTGTCGGGAGAAAAAGTTTAAAAAATGTCAAGTTAACTGATTCCCGATCATATTGCATAATATTCATTTCACATAGAAATTGCACTGCACTTGCTGGAAAAAGCAGAATGGGACTAAGACAAAAAAATTCAGGAACCATATTGAAAATAGAAAGTAAAAACAGTATAAACGTAGAAATGATACTAGAACTCAAATTTTAACTTTGAATCATTTCAGGTATATCAATTCGTTCTAGTAATCATAACTTCTACAGACAAAATGATAATATTACAATACACAGAAGGAATTTTTAAAAAACGCCCCTCAAACAACTTGAACAGCACAAAAAAAACAAAGAAAAAGAAACAAAACAGCACATAATAGGGGAAAACAGATAGGAAACCAGGTAAAATGACATCAAACAATATGTCAATGTTGCAAAACAACCAGTATAGTTCAAAACTTCATAAATACCCATTCAGAAAGGGAAGGCCAGAAGATATAGGAACTGAAGACACCTCATTTGTAGCTTCCACTTATGAGCAGAGAAATTATTGAATAGAAAAAGGCAAGCAACCAGAACATATGCCTGCAATGGGTCAAAATAATTCAGAGTTATGGCTCCTTACAGTTGGTTGGTCTTGACTCTTTCCAGGTTGTTCATTGCTTTTCGGCTCAACTTCCCCCAATAGCACAGCAGGAACAAATGCTCTAGAATAAAGGCCAAATTAAGTTTCCTCTGATATAAAACAATAATAGAGCCGACTAAATAAAAATAAAACCAACGTTTGCAACAAAAAATTTAACTAGAAAGAAAAGTTACCCATCAATATATAATCATTTTTCTTTTCAAGTGAATAAAATTTTAAACAAATACCTAAGATCAGGTAAACATTCATAGAATGCTCTAGTATCTTCATCATCCCATATGGCCTCAACACCAGAAGAATCTTTCCCAGCAGCAGAAGAAACAGCTTCCTCACCACTAGTAACCCTAGTTGTGTGACCATCCTCTGGCATTACTGGAGGTTGCATGTCCAGAGATTCTGCTAATCTGCATCAAGGCAATCATGCAAGAGTTGGCAGAAGAAAAGTAAAGCTAAAATATTTAAGACAACATCTCATGTGTTGAGGAAGAATATAGGGCATGTTCAGGGTGGCGTTGCACCACCCTCAACCATGTTTTCGGGTGGTGTTGCATGCACTCAAATACGTGCTTTAAGCTGTAATACAATTATCCAGAGGGTGCACCTGACACAATATTAACTAATACATGCAAACCTTAATTCCATTCATTACTAATCTAAAAATAATCTCACCTGCAAGACTATCCTCAACAATAGATTGTCATATCTAGAAATTCCTGAAAGTTGTTTTTGCTTTATGTCTAGAGCTTAAACCTTTCATGTATTTATTTACTGCTAATCTTATGGAATATTGGTATATGGAGCCATTCATTTAGAGAACAAAAAAAGTAATCACTACATGAAATAGGAAAATGAAATGAAAAAAGTCAACAAAAGCAACTTACGATGAGACATTACGATATAAATGGTCATAAGATTTTCGAAGCTTTTCATATGCAGAGACATTCTCATCACTAAGCTCCCCCTTTGCATTTAAGATCTTAGAATTTTCGTGCTCCATTAGTCGAAGTGACTGTCAGAAAAATAAAAGCCATTAATAATCACATGAACCATAATATTGCTGCAAATATCTACTAAAAAAGCAGTACCTAGAACAAAAAGTGAATAACTAACCAAAATCAACAGTTAACAGGGGACGAATCTTACCGCATGCTCAGATCGAAGCAGTTCTGCTGCAGCATCATGAAATGCATAAAATGCTTTTCGGAAAATTTTCTTCTGATCAGCTGTGATGTTCAGTCCCTTCAAAAACTGTATCATCATGTGAGCACAGGAATATGAAGGACAGAGCAGGCATGGTGGTACAATTCTAAAGACAAAACAATAATTTAAAAATGATTGAAGATTCAGGGCTGGTTTGGTAAGAAGAATGAAATGGAAAGAAAAGATAAAAGGATGAGAAAAGTAACCTTGTAGATAAGAAATGTCTTTTATATCCCTAAAAAAATGTAAAAAGGAAGGGGGGGGAAAAAACACTTACCTCTTCTAGCTCAAAATATAAGCATCACATAAACAAATCACACAACTCAAAAAGTTGGTTAAAATTATTTAAATGAAACTTATGTTCGCAAAACACCCTTATTTACAGAGAGGGTAAGTGGGAGAGAGAATGAGAGTAAAAAGAGATGAAAGAGAATAAGTGGAAAAAAAAATATGAGAGACATCTAATTAATTAGGGGTAAAAATGAAAAAATGTATTAAATAATTAGACAAGTTTAAATTGTGCCTTGTTTTATTTTAAAAAAACAAAGAAAGAAAGCCCAAACCCTTATAAAGATTTGCTGCTTATATTTTGAAGCAGAGGGAGTATTATGGAATAACAATGCCTCGAGCAAAACAGATATTACATATCGTGATTTTTATGCAAGGAATAAATAACTCTATCCCCTCCCAACAACCAAACTGATCATTAGAGTCATAGAAAACAACAAATGGAATTCTTAATGGGAAGATAAAGACGTACCTCTTCATGAATTTCTTGTCCAGTAATAGGAAGTCCTAAAAATATTCTCCCTTGGCGAGCAAAGCTAGAAAGAAGAGTCAAACTAGTTTGTGTAGAATCTATGTCTTTTAGCTGTTCTGCACTGGTAAGGTCTTTTATAATGTTGATAAAAATACCACAATCTTCTATAACACCAACAAAATAAAGTTCCAACAGAAGTTTCAGAGTGCTACGCTTCTTCATTGCCTTTAAGTTTCTATCTGCATCAGATTCATCCCCAGATTTCCCAGGGGAGAAAACTTTGAGAAGCCCTTGAATCAAGCTTGGTGTGAAGTCCTTGTATCTTTGGTGAAGCAAAGAGCAAATCTATTGAAAAAGAGATCTAAGTCAGGAATGTCTCAGGAATCATGCCTTTAAAAGGATAATTGCAACCAATAAAATTATAGCAAGACCTAGAAACGAAATGGAGGCAAAAAACCCTACATTCTAAATTATAAAAGGAACTGTCTTCATTTACAGTGTCTAAAAGCCAATCAAAATAACAAGCCCAGAATTTTAACTAGAAAAAGCCTCATAGAACATAAATATTGAAACAAGAGAAGCTCCAGCTTGGGATTAAAAAGCAAGACAAATTGCAGCCAGAGAAAACATGTGAATGCTTATTTTACCACCTTAAATTTTAAATTTTGTACCATTGGGATTTTAGAATGCTTGTCCTAGATTTTTGCAATAATCTAAACAAGGCACATGCAAATACCTTTCCAAGTTAATTACAATGAAACAAAGAACCTCCGTTTTACTAGGAAATCATTTCTAATATGTCAAAACAAGAAACCCAAACACAACTCAGTTAAAGCAATGCAGCATGCCCAAAAGAAAATGATGAGAAGAAAGAAAAAATGCAAAGCACCCACCTGAACTCCTGCATGAATATCTGATGATCTAAGTTTGGCTTCACATATAGCTGCCACAGCTTCACTGACAAATTTGCTTAAGTTGACACTTCGCAACTCATCCATCAGGGCTTCCCGTTGCTCTTCATTGATTTGCTTCAGTTTCTTAATAACTGCGGTGTTGCGCTTGATGCTGGAATCCAGTGTCCTAAGAAATCCTGAGTCTGTATGTAAAAATACACTCAATTACTATTCATGAAGCAAAAACTGATGACAATTCAACAAGCATAAAAGATAATAAACCATACACGGATTCCTATGTTGCAAAAAGCTGTTTGAATAACAGGAAGAAAGAATCAATTTCATATTTTAATTACCAACTTTGCTCTCATAAAAAGAACAAAGAAAAGGAAATTGAATATATTAAAGCACAAGGAACTCTATTCCCTAAGGCAACAAATATCATTATCATCCGTGTTTTCCATCAAGAAGTGTAAAAGCATCATACTAAAAATACGAAATTCTATTCACTACAGAAAAGCTTTGTTTCCAAGAAAAGGGGAAGAGGCTAAAGATCACTTCTAGTACAAGAGGTAAATTCCATTTTGAAGATTTTAATTCCTGCTAGTTGCAGCATAAAACTGAATAGTGCGCATACATACTATCAATATGAGCAGGGAGGGGGTGGGAACTAACCAGGCCTTTCAGGATTCAAATTGCTTTGACGTAAAGCCATTTTGGCCTCAATTGATTTTTTCATTTCATCATGGCGTGCAGCCGCTTCCTGCATATGATGAAAAGAATGAAAACAATTTAAGTCAGTTCACAGCAGAAGAAATATACCATCCAAGAATTTCATAGAACAAAATTGCAGTTTACATCTCGAGCAAAAGACACAATAGAATCAATGCATTTATGTGAGCTCTTGACAAGCTAACAAAGCCAACAGCTAGATTCTCTCTCAATTCTAAGAAGAAAAGAATCTTGTAGAGGAATGATTTTAACCACCCAACCCCCACCCCAAAAAAAAAAAAACACACACACACACAACCACAACCCCTTCCTTTGAGACCAGCATCAACGAAGCACAGGCCCACTAAACATTATAATGAAAGTTTATTTTAATTAAACCAATGGCAATTAGTTCAAGAGGTTTGATGCTTGTCTTCCTTAAGCAAGGTCTCGAGTTTAAGTCTCATGTGAAGAAAATAGCCCTTTGGAGAGCTTTATGTCTATGTGGTTCAACGCAGCTGAATCTGGATTACTCCGCACCTAATGTTACTTTTAGAATGGTATCACCAAAGAAACGAAGTTAATTTTAGTAAGGAGAAATGAGAAGCAAAAAGGATCAAACTCTAGCAAAATACTCATTGACACACTTGTGCTTTCACAAGGACTATGCATCCCAAAATCTTAAGTTCTTAAGTGATGACCCATGATTAATTCTGGAATATTTCTGACAAAAATTAAGGGGAGTTTTTCTTATATTTAAATCGAATTACATGTGGAGCTTTTACTTGATAATTACAAACTCTCCTGCTACTAACTAATTGCAATTTCTGTTGTTTCCCACACAAAACTCTTTGAATCCATCTGGGCCCTGCTTTCACCTTACTTGACCTCGGCCTTCAAACTCAACATCTTTGATCTACGATGACCAATGGAATCAAAATCAAAAGTATAAATTGAAAAATCAGCAGGCATAAGAGGCTCCACCAATAATAAAGGTTATTTCTTTGCCTTTATAAGTAAGAGAGGTGAACCAAAACCAATTCATCTTTCTTTTGTACTCGCTGCAAGTTTGATTAGAGAATGGCAGGCTACCCTGCAAGTCATTATCATGTAAGGTTTGTAATGGGGATCAGGTCAACAGCATTAATCAGCAACCCTTTCCCCAATGGGAACCATAAATGCCGAGAGAAACTAGGTATCTTCTTCATTGTTTCCTTAAGTTATTCTAACACCTCACTGGTTAACAATACCTATCAATTGTCCAACATTCTCTCCAAATTCTAATAGTGATACATCCAAAGTTTTTGCTTCATATAGCTATGTAGGCCTTTCATCTATTATTCTACATTCAAAACTAATTTACCCACTACTACCTACAAACAGCTTCCCTTGGCCTCCCCCAAAAACTCTTCCATTCATCTAGCAAACTTTTCATCTTACTGGACCTTGGCCTTAACATCTTTGTTGATACTTTTTGCCCACGCAACGAACTACCCTATAGCATAAATTACAATAATTTAGTCGTATTTTTTACTTCTTCCCATCAGCGATAGTTGCTCAAACCTCAAAGTTGCATGATATTCACATTTAACTGTTCAATACTATAGATGGAGATTATAGTAAGAGCAATCGACATTGATACTGTACTTCAACATAACGAATTTTAAATACCGCATTTTAAGCTGCAAATTATCAGCAAAGAAAACTACGGAGTATTCTTACTAATTGTTCAAGGGGCAAAAATAAAACCCAAGAAATACCACATGATGGATCATCAGTTATCATTTTAAAGATAAATCATACAACCTCGTCATCTTTCTTGCCGTGACTTTCACTTCCATTGCGAGATTCATCCTCTTGCTGGGACTTCTCCTTCATTAGTATCAAACCCAATTAACCTGGATTCAGATACAAAGCAAACAAACTTAGGCTTGAAATCAGCTGAAGCAAAAATTAAAAATGAAAATCAGAAACCTCGGGCAGAAACGAACTCTAGAAGCGAAGATGAACATGAAGGGGGAAGCAGAAACCTCAGGCAAAGAAACGAAGCAGATCTCTTCGCGAACCAGGAGATCTTGTGAAGGAGGAGAAGGGCAGAAGGCAACGGTCACGGACTTGCGATGATATAGAGGAGTCTGACAAGTGATGAGACGACCGTTGTACGGCAAACGGCGGTAATCGTGCGAACTGCGAAGGCCTGCGGAGAGCTTCGATGACGCCGAGAAGGCGAGAACTGGCGAACGAGTGCCTTTTGCATTTGAGTTTCGAAGACAGGAAGTTTTTCGAGGGTAAAATGGTAAAATGAGAAGTAAATTTTAAATCATAATTTAATAAAAATGTTACTACTATTGTATGGAAACGGGATAAGACGGGCAACCCGACCCTTTCCATGTCGAGTGAGGAAACGGATCGGCCCGATTCTGTTTGCAGGCCACTCAGTGAACTCTTAAGCCCCATTTATAAAAGTCAATTATTAAAGCTTAACTGAGATTTCAAAATCAAAACAGCCATTAAATCGATTAAGGGAATAGTTTATAATCTACAATTTGGATTGCTGGTCGAATTAGATGTTAAAATCTTTATGCATTGAAATAATATAATCATGAATCTAAATTATTAATGAACCCTAAAGGTCCCTCACATAATAAAAACCATGCATGATATTTAAAAACCAGATGAGACCAACCTGTTTAGAGCTAAAACTAGCAAATAAAAATTTGAACCAATAAAAATTTGAACTGATGTGATACAATGATAATCAGAGTAACCCATCCAACTAGGGGATATTAGAGTTAACGTTTTGACTTACTGAAAACCATGGAAGGTGAGGAAGACAATGAGCGAGAAGAAAAGTATGAGGAAGATGAAAGAAAGAGCAAGTGGGCAAGGTGAATGTTGAAAATGTATTTATATTTGGAGAGGATGCCCAGGTTAAGGCGCCACTATGGGGGATTCTAGTGATAGAAATGAAAACTGAACTATGGTTCTAGATGCAAATCTTCTTTTGTGGGAGGCTTGCATTTTTAGTTTTTAATTGAGAAGGTTTTGAAAATAAACATTGTACTAAAGAAAGGTGATTTGACAATAGAATGCAAGTGAAATAATAAAATGGCATTAGGAAGAAAGAAAATCTGACAAAAGACAAGGGAGGAGAGGTGAATGAGAGAAATAACAAGGGAAATGCATTTTATATAGTAACGATAAAATTGTTTAATAAATAATTTTTACAAATTTTAATTTAATTAAATTAGCATAATTATGATCGGTTTATTTTTGAATTAACTCTAATCTAACACACTGACTCTTGACTAATTTTCTCGACTAGTTCTTTGATTGGTCTGATTTTTAATATCTTAATAAAAACTAAACAGCAAAACCCTATCTATTGCACCATTTTTTTAGAAGATGTGAAGAAAGACCACAAATAATCAACTAATAGAATTGAACTAATCTAATAAAGATACCAAAGTCAATTATGAAAAATTTTGAAATGGTTGCTTGTGAAATCTAAAGGAAAATCTCAACACAAAAACACGTGAAAATATACAAAAAAAATTTTATAAGCTTCAAAGTTTGCAATGTAATATCAATAATAATAGTTATATTAACAGTCCGTTTGGTTTAAAGAATTCATTAGAATGGAAAAGAATGGAAAGGAAGAAAAAGAAAAATTGACGGTGGAGTGAATGTTTGGTTGTCAGTGGAATTGAAAATTATTTGAATGGAAAATTTATCTTTGGTTGGATGAAAAAAGGTGGAAAAATAAACAAAATAACCATATTGCCCTTAATGACATATTTTAACAATATTTATGAGTTTAGAAAGCTACACCCATCTCTTTGGTCTGAACAGTGTCCTGTTTGTGCGGCAAGAAGAAAAGCGAAATGGGTGCAAAATATGGCCCTTAATGACTTTGTTTTTTTTTTTTTTTTGTGGTTTTGATAACGCAGATGTACGTTACAGGTTATAGGGCTTGTGCATGGACAGATGATGAGGATTCAACTATTGTGTTAATTCTTTGTGATATGCAACTTGTGAAAATATTCATGAAAGGGCCAAGGTACATGCCTGTTACTTGGTGTAAATTGAAAATAAGATGGAAGAAATGCTGCCAAGATGTGGATTGAAGAGAATCAGCATGCGGCTTCCTTTCCATTCCTGCCTCTTCTGCGAAGCAAACTGCCGCCGCCAAAGGGGAAATTGAATTTTCCATTTCCAGGCCCACATTATCATTGAACCAAACAGGCTAGGTTTAGCGTTATTAACAGAGACTTGGAATGAAAGAAAAAGTTTATTCTAGCCTTATTACCCCAAATCTTCATAATTTGTTTTCAATGCCCTATGTCCTGCCAAAAAAGTGTGATATTTTTCTATTATGTTGGGTTTGGCATTTAAAATAGCTTAGTATTTATGCTTCATATTATATTAAAAAAATATAGAAAAAGAGGCCTGAAAAAATAAAATATCAATTTTGGAAGCTGACGTATTATGATGTCAAAAAGGGAAGAAAAACTTAAATGGGTATTTTGAAATTAAAGCAAAATGACAACAATGCCGCTTATTTTGTCAACAAAAAAAAAAGTTCCCACTTCTATCAATAAAATTCAAAAAATATATATGTTAAATACTTAGCTTTGACTGCTGATCATTTGCAACTTTTGTATAGATATTGATTACATTTCATGAGCTATGATCATTTTTCGTCTAGTAAGTAATAAAGCCACTTATTACAAGTCATTCATAACTTTTATATGGGCATTAAAACTACATTTCAATAGCTATGAACAATCTTCTTCTAGCAAATAACAAGCCCATTAACTGCAAATCATTCATAATTTTTGTATAAGTATTAACTACATTTCATCAACTATTAAAAACTGTTTAGTAAGTAACAAGACCACTCTTATAGATCATTCACAACTTGTATATGGGTATTGACTACACTTCATCAACTATAAACAATTTTTTTTAATTAAAGGGCCCAATTTATTTTTTAAAAAAATTAAAGTTCAAAATTTAAATAACTTTAGCAATTTCACAATCACAATGTATAACTTATATATTATTTTGCATTAGCTTGATTGCAAATCATTCTTGGCCTATTAGTCACCCTTAATTTAGGCACCAAATGTTAGGTTGAAATCTCGACTTATTAATCATTTCCAAAATTGGTAAAATAAAATGAACATTTGTTAATAGCATCACAATTTTTGTATTGGTATTCATTGCATTTCATAAGTTACTGGCAACTTTGTTTAGCAAGTAATGAGGCCACTTTTCTAGGCCATTCACAGCTTTTGTATGGTATTATGTTTACTACATTTCATTAGCTATCAACAAACTTTTTTCTTTTTAGTTAAAGGGCCTCATTTATTTATTTTCCAAAAAGCTTGAAATTACAAAAAAGGTTTAGCAACTTAACAATCATCATTTTAAAGTTAACTTATATATATTTTTGCATTACTTTGATTGCAAATCATTGGTGGCACATTAGTTATCCTTAACCTAATTTTGGCACTAAGTGTTCAGGTTGAAATCACAACTTGTTAATCTATTCACTACTACAGAATGACAAATACTTGACGATTATTCTGGGCTATATTTGACAGTTAAAAACCATCAAGTATATTGGCGTCATATATTTCAACCTCAGATATTTGACAATTATTAACCGTAAAATATTTCAATAATATTTGACGGTTTTACATGATGAACCGTCAATTATTATACAAGCATTTGACTTTTTTCAGAAAAACTGTAAACTATTTCTCTAAGTACTTGATGGTTAACATCAGAATCATCAATTATTAGAGGAAAAAAATGGATGGTTTTAATTAGAAACCATCAAGTATAAGTAATAAATACTTGACAGTTCTGAAAACTATCAAGTATGGTGCAACAGTAGCAAACAATACTTGACAGTTATTACTAAAACCGTCAAGTATTGTAATAATACTTGACCGTTTTAAGTAAGAACCGTCAAGTATTATGGGAATTTTTTTTAATACCGGTTCTGTTGTGCCAGCAGCCTCTCTGCAATTTTGAAACCTCATACAAAAGAGCATATTCAACAGCACCATACAGGCCAGCATTCAAACCAATTCAGCCATATGAATGTAACCAAAACCACAAATTTACATTATTATATACATCTTAATGAACCAAAACCAACTATCATATTAAAAAAACTTATGTTTAAGGCAAGTAAAAATTCTAGATAAGTACAAAAGGTGAACCAATTCCAAAATTAGCCAATTGTCAAAATTGTTCAATGCCAAAACTTACCAACAGCAAAAAATGAACTAAAACCAAAATTGAAACCAAAGCTGTACATGGAATGTCTTGTACTTCCCTATCTATTTTGTGCCCACTGACGGAACAAGGCCATCACCAACTCTTCAATGATTTCTTCCATCTGAGTAGATGACTACACTATGCAATATGTGTCGGCAAAATACTGTATGCAACCACAAATTATGACATAAGTTAGATATAAATATAAAGCTACAGTAAGTACAATTCTTAAATATATAAATTGAACTTTAACAAATGCATATTACCTGTGTAGGGATTGTGTCAATATTGTGCATAATTATCTCCTTTATGAATTTCATCACGTAATATCCACAATCGGAGCTTTTTTTGAGCTGACGTGGGCACTGTAAAGAATGAAAAAGGAAATAATATTCAATCACATAAATAAGTCATATTTAGTAGAATAGTAAATAATGATAATGAATACCTTTACTTTCTTTCACGGGAAGGTATTGTCAAATTGGCCGTTTTTTTTACCGAGGGGCAGGGTAAAGCTTGATTTATGCGGTGTAGCCACAAAGCCCTGAGAAGACAATAAAATTGAATATTAATGATTGTCAAAAATTAGATTGAAGCAAAAAATTAAATTAAATTTAAATAATAGATATAAACATTACTTATTGAACAATGAAACCATAAATGGTCAATTGGTTGGATCCCCATGAAGAGAATCGAGATACCAAATCCTCGGCTTTGTGGGATTGACCACAATTAGCATCCAGTGTCCCCTAAGTATAAGAAAGACAATTAGAACAATTACAAATATTTTGAAAATGAAAGAATTTAGGAAAGTTCAGTATACTACATACCCTTGACAATAAGGCGCAAAAAACAAAGTCTCAGGCGTTGCTGCCGTAGAAATGAAGATATCTACCAAGTCTCTGGATAAGTCTTTCTTCTTCATATCAGGTCTATGGCCAGCAAAAGTGTGGGGGTTGATAATCTTAAACTTGTCATCAAGGCCACTGGGGACTATAAAGTTCTTGAAAAGATACCTAAATCAACAAACAAAGATATCAATAAGATAAATGCTTAAGTACTTAAGTATTTAGTTAAGGTTTTAACAAATACTTGATATAAAAGTTACAGGCATTTGTGCTGGTCATTCCATGTGCTAGAATTTTCTTTCAATACTTCATTTGTGACGTACTTTGACGAGGGTTGACCGTAGACCTCTGGCTCAAACTTTAGGAGAATCATGAAATCCTCGCCATGTTCTAATCTGGCCCCAATTGCATATTCCTCAAGACATATTCAGAATCTTGATGGTGCCGCTTGAACAGACTCATGAAGGGAATTGAAAGACGACACGCAGCGGAAAAACAACTCGAAATTTTAAGACTTTCAACCCCTTGCCCGGATCTACCGATCGCGTTTAAGTTAGGTAGTAAGAAGCATTACCTTCGGTGTTCGATTTCCTGGTGACTCGATGATTCGGCCGTTCAGGATGCTTCTGCTCGCCTCCTTCGTCGTTCGAAGTCGACAACTCCGGTCGGCTTCCTCTACCGGTATCCACACTAGCAGCCCTCAACCTCGAACGGCGTGCTAGCGCCTATGCCCGTCTAGGGTTTTCGAAATCCGTCCTCTCTCCTCTCTTAGGTCGTCTCTTATCTGTCAGTTCTCTCACTCTTAAACCCTAGCTCCTCATATCAAATATATAGGATGCTATATAGGTTTAATTAATAATATTTAATTTCGAAATTAACTCTAAATTAATTCTGAAATTAATACAATATCAAATATTGCCTAATCAGATAAGAGAACAATTAAATAAATATGATTTAAATTAAATCCGTCTCACAGATTTAATTCACTTATTTATTTAATAAAGAGATGACGGAATTTAATTTATCCTTATAAATTAATATCTCTTATATTTATATATATATATACGAATTTATATATATATATATATATACACACGTCCACCCTATTTATTCATTGAATCTGGACATATCTTAGATTCAATGAATCTGGACATCATAACTCGTGTTGGGCTATTTTGTGTGTGACCCTGTAGGCCCATATGAAGTTGGCAGTGGGCCATTAACTATAATGACTCACAAGTCGTAAGCGGTCTCTAGCAAGACATCACGACTACCCAAAACATATGAGGATCATTGAACGATGCAACCTTTCATACAACCATATCACGTCCCTTTTGTCACACGACATTTTGGTCATGGATGAGGCATGGAGAACGTCATCCTCCTATTCATGACCGTTACTTTCTCGATCCCTGAGTAGTCTGAGTATAGAAACGGAACTACCTTTCCATTATAGTATGGCCATACATTTCTCAGACTCACTCATCGAGGGGCCCAGTAATGTCTCTCTACGAATGTGAGGGACAAATTCCATCTTGACCATTCACATTCCTCCGCATGAAAAACCACTAAGCCTGAACATAGTCTTTATGATCACTCGGTCAAAAGTGACTTTTGACTAGGTCAAAGCTAAGCGTTTCTCATGTAGGAATCCATGATGATCTCAGGTCAAAGGGCATAGTGACGTGGTTTGTATATGAGAGAAGCTTATGACTTAACCCATGCAGCTCTCTCATAGCGGGTCGGTCCAACACCTTGTACTCTTACATGTGCCTATGACTTTAATTTATATCTCTATATATCTTTAAAGTCATACTAGTCTTATTTCATCTTTGCTCCCATATAGATGACCGACCAGGGACATTTAGGATAAACCATGAGTTATCCAAGGATAGTCATCACAGTAAACATGCAAATAATATGATAACTTAATTAATAAATTCATAAATTAACAATGTTCAAAACAGAATGATTGGCCCCTAGGGCACAATTTCCAACAACTCAAAGGGCTGCTTCTGTGGCAATGATAATGAGTGATCACCCAATAGGCTCTTCTTCCCCTTACACTGACAAATAGACTGTTAGTAATTAAAACAGAGTTTATTTTAAATCAACTGAATGTGTAGGCCTATACATATATAGCTTTGAAGGATGTCCTAACATAAGAAGGCCACCAGGCCAAGCGACAAAGCTACCCACTGCTTGAGCCACTGTCTCTACATCTGGGGTGGGCATCGAGAGGGCATAATTAGTATCAATAGCAGTGTTCAACTGTACCCTCACATGATTAGCAGGGAGAGGCACATTATGAATCATACTCTCCCACGGTAAATTGAACATGCAGCCCGTTGCAACAATATGATGTTTAGGGCTATCCGCCATACACTAAACGTCCACTTCACCCTAATTTAACATGGGAGACAAGTTAGCTAGAAATATAAATAATTGAATGTAATAGTATAAACACAAGCATTATACCTCAGGTAGTAAGGGGAATGTGCAACTGTCTTTGCCACTTGGACTGAGATTCAGAGTCGGCTGTGGTGCTTGATTCTTAATCAATTGCTCGATTAGGAGCACTTGTGCTTTAACTTGCTCCTTTAACTAGCATGTTTCTTCCCTCAGCTCCATGAACTCAGCAGAGGAAGGCGTGCACGATAAAGAGGGCTTTTGTCGGTACCCGAAGTAATCTCTCTTAGTGACTCCATAACCGACACCTCTAAAAAGACCAGGATGGTTAGGAGTCCCCAGTGCCCTCCTCAATATATCCTGGTCATCTGCAGAATATGCCCCCACGAAACTTCCTGGGACAAACTCTCGTGTAACAAACATTGACATAGTTATTCATACTTAAAGATATTTAATAATAACGTGAGGACTATTTAATTTAGAATAATACTCACTATCCTGTCCACGACCTCCTTAACGCAAGGATTATCAATTTGGCCATCTTTATTTTGCCTGGCCAATGCCCACAGCAGCTGACGGGATACAGTGACATCTGATCCCTCCTTTTGAGTCACCTCTTACTCGAGGCTCGCATAACCCAAGCACCCCTTTCTATAGGGATATTCATTCTTCTTTACCCTTTTCTTATTTTGGGCACTTAATTCCTACAAAAACAAAGTAGATTCACAATTAAACAGTATATAGATTAAACAAAATAGACTATATAATATCGAAAAGAGCAAGGATTATTACTCGAAATTGACTAATGTGACATCACAAAAGCAGCCCAATCCTCTGGTTTGACCAAGTCCAGTATCAAGCTAGGAACCTTAGACTCGTCGGCCATGGAAGGATCCTTCAAGTACTTACGTGTCACAAAGTATCAAAAAGAGCACAGTGCCCTTCCAGCCTTCCCCTCCATAAACTTCTTCCTACTCTCATCTATATCAAATGTAGCTGCAAAACATATAAAACAACACATTAGTATCAAGCAACTTGTGAGAAAATGAAATTTGAGTTGTTATAATATATTACCGATACATCTATCCAAATAGTGTCTCGCACTAAACGATCAACCCTCCACCAGTGCTACACTATAATGGGCAGGTGCTTCGTGCCATTGCCCCAATATAACTGAGAAATTTATTTGACCATACAGCTTGTCCTTTCTTATTCCACTATACGACAAATCTCTTTCCTTCCATTTGAGCTTTCACAACCTCTTGCATGACACAAAGGCCCCTCTGTATGTGTGTTGCCTCGTCTTGCAACTATCTCTCCTGGTCAGAGGCATCTCTTGGCTGAGATGGATTATTAGTGCTAGATCCACTATCATCTGCTATCTGTAATGAAATTCAATTAAACAAAATGAATCAGAACCCATTAAATGAAAATAAAGTCATTAATGACGAAATTGACTTAAACAAAATTAAAACAAATAAAAGAATCAAAGAAAATGATAAGAGAATTTACATGCATGTTTAAGTAGATCTTTTCCTTTTTCTACTCTTAGGTTTTTGTATATTCTTCTTGGTTTGAATTGTTTTGATCTTCTTATAAAACACTTTCCCCCTCTTTGAAATCCATATTCCGTCATTGTGATCGTGCTTGGTGTGCATGGATTGATCTTTATTTAAATGAGAATTAAGTGATGTCCCTTGAAATGGATCATCTTCAACTTCATTGTCTTCATATCCCATCTTTTCAATATTCATTTTATTAGTCAACAAAACAATAGACCATCCTTTAGTAGCCAGGTCAGGGACATAAAACACTTGTGTAGCCTGAGAAGCCAAAATGAATGGCTCTTCCTTGTATCCTTCCTTATTCAAATTCAATTGTATGGACCCTAAGTCATCAATTCTCAATGCATTATTGTTGTCCACCCCCTGCAACCAAATACCGAAACTCTGAATTCAATGTAATCTAGCTCCCAAATATCCTCAATCACTCCAAAGTATAGCATACGTGCATAAATAGGATTTTTATCTTTGGCACTCAATATATGCATGGTATTAGCTACAAGCGTTACACTACTATTTTGCTATTTACTCCAATCATCTTGCTATTTAGTATAAAAAGTGAACCTATTAATAAGGTAGCTTGTGAAAGAAATCATATGTTTGCTCGGTCCATATACCAACAACTTTAATTTCTTCAAAACAGAATCAGGATCACTATTATACTTGCCATGTACCTGCTCTCAACCATACTGTAAATTATTTATTGTGTTTTTTGGTGTACCAACTTTCAAGTTTATTGGGATTATCCCTCTTTAGCTCATCAATATGCTCATCCACATAGTCCTCAATCTCTTCGGAGTTGTGTAATACATATAGATGTGCCTGCTCTCACGGTTGGTTTGAAATAGTTACAATTTGCTTTCCCATAACCCCTTCTCCATCTGTCCTTCCCTCATGACGAGACATTGAAACCCCAATATCACTTGCATTTTTAAGTAATGGGTACAAAATTCAGTGGCCTCTTCATAAATATATTGTTCTACGATACAACCCTCTGGCCGACTTTGATTTTTCACATACCCTTTCAATATTTTCATGTAACGCTCAACTAGGAACATTCATCTTAAATATACTGGGCCAAACAGTTGGACCTCTCTAACTAAGTGGATGGTTTAAATGGATCGTGATGTCAAAAAAGGCCGAAGGAAAATATATTTCAAGTTCACATAACATAACTATGATTCTGGTTTGCAATCTTAGCAATTTACTAAGATTAATCACTTTGCTGCAAAGAGACTTAAAGAAGAAACATAACTTCATGATCGTAACTCACACCTTATCAGGTAAAATAGCCCATATTGCCATTGGAATAAAGTTTTCCACTAAGATATGGAAGTCATGAGATTTTAAACCTTTTAATTTCAAATCCTTCATTGAAACAAGGTTACTAATGTTAGAAGAGTAACCTTCCGGCACTTTTACTGAAGTAAGAAACTCACAAAAGCTACTTTTCTCTTTTCTAGAAAGCATGTGAGCTGCTGGACGAAGAAATGTACGAGTGTCCTGAGAATATGGAGTAATGTGCCAAATAGAGTTTCACATATGTTTCTCTCAATATGTATAGCATCAAGAAAATGTCTCATATTCAAGGTTATCCAATACGATAGTATAATGAAAATAGACCTCTTCTTCCACCCACTTGTCCCAACATGCTTCGTGAAAGGTTTTCCAAATTCACAATCTATATCTTTCACCTTTTGAAATACATCCTCCCCAATCTACGGCATAGGTACCCTACCTTCTTCTAAATTCCCATTGAAATATTTTTTGAATCGTTGGTAAGGATGATCATGATGCAACCATCTACGATGTCCGATATATGAATTTTTCATTCCATGCTTCAATCTTATGAAATCTGTGCTTCTTCACAAATGGGACAACTAAGTTGCCTTTTAATGCTATATCTTGAGAGATTACCATATGCAGGAAAGTCGTTAATTATGCCAAATAACATAGCTCTCAACTTGAATGTTTCTTCCTTATATGCATCATATACATCAACTCCATTCTCCCATAATACTTTTAAGTCTTCAATTAATGGAGCTAGATATATATATATATGTCATTTCTTGGTTACTTTTGCCCAGAGATTATCGTAGACATCATTGAATATTTGTGTTTCATGCATAGCTATGGAAGAAGGTTATATATAAACAAAATCATTGGCCATATGCTATGGGTGCTGCTTTGCATCCCATACATGTTCATCTTGTCGGTGGCTAATGCAAGGCATAGATTTCTATCTTCTTCCCAAAATTCAGAATACTCAATATCAAACCTCTTCTATTCTGTAGAATTAACAGGATGGCGAAGCATGCAATCTTTAACCCTTTCATCCGCGTGCCATCTTAAATTTCTCGCATCTTCTACATAACTATACAAACATCTGAATCTTGGCACAATGAGAAAATACCATAATGCCTTCTTTGGGCTCTTCCCATTCTCTTAGTAGCACGATGCATTACACTTAGAACACTTAGTGACTTATATTCCTCCCTAAACAAAATGCAATCGTTAAGGCAAGCATGTATCTTCTCATGACTGAGGTTGTTAGAGTGCAACACTTGCTTTGTATCATATGTTTTGCTTAGAAGCTCATTTTCTTTCGGTAGCATTTATTTAACAAGTAACATCAGTTCTATGAAGCTTGTGTCGCTCCACCCATTTCTTGCTTTTAAATTATACAGTTTCAACACTACAGACAATTTTGTGAAATCAGTACAACCTTCATATAGAGGTGTCTCGGTATCACACTTCAATCTATCAAACATTTTAGGACAATCATCAAGTTCCCGTTCAATCGCATTTGTTGTCTCCTCAAGACGGTCAGCTTCACATGTACTCATGTCAAGATTAGATGATCCACAGCTTTCATTATGCCCTTGACTACTATTACTCACATCTCTTATCTCTCCGTGCTTTGTCCAACACTTGTAACTTTAATCGATTCCATTGATAATGAAGTGACTCTCATAATCGGATGGTAAAACCCACTTCAGAAGGCAATACTTAAGATAGGGGCAAATAATCCTATTGCGATAAGCGGCGTGTTCAATCACAAATTTAATAAAATCTTCTACCCCATCCCAATATTCCTTTGATAGACGATTGATGGACATCCATTCCTTGCCCATGGTCCCTGACTAGGATGAATCATTTAGAGGAAAATGTGATCAGCGACTCAAAGATATTGTGAGAATTAAACAAAAATAGGAAGTCAATACATGGGCACTATTGATCACATTTATTCCTCTTTAATTCTACTTGTTAACAACTAGTAATTTTAGTTGTTAGCAACTAGTAATTCAACAAAAATTCACTTTCACTTTAGTTTGAAAAATATTCTACTACTACTGATGTGCTATTCCATTTGAAAAAAATTTGACAGTATAACGGCTTATAACTTAGCAT